TCAAATGTATAGTACAATTAGTAATAACAAGTGTACTACTTTATATGCAAAAGGAAATCCTAAAATAAAGCCTTCTAAAGAAGAATTTAAAGAGGCATGATAAATCCGCAAAAAGACTCACTTTAACCCTTGAAATACCAAATCAGGAGCAGACCTGCTAGCCTTATGTAGTAAGTCTGCTATGAGCTATAAGGTTGTGGGATTATGAGATTGCATAGAAACTCTGTATTAAAGGGACACTGCTGGCACTATAACCATTTCATCTCTTGAACGGGATATAGTGCCTGGAGTCCACTGGGGCTATCCCTCCATTCAGTGTTAAACCATTTTTGAACGGTTGCACACTAAATAAAGGCCCCTGGCCACCCGCAACCCTGGACCCCACAGGAGTAATGGCTAACGCAGAAAATACACACTTTCTTCTAGCCATACCAATTTATACCAGCAATGGGCACTGTGATAGGCAGAAAGTGATCATCTGACACTCTCAGCCAATTGCAGCTGCCCATTGCTAATCAGATTAATGTTTCCTTATAAGTCCAAGATGTGCGCGTGCATTACAATCGACGTCCAGGGTCAGATAAGTACAATTCACTGTAAATCGTGGAAGCGGCCTCTAGTGCCTATCAGGGAGACAGCCACTAGAGGCTAGATTAACCCTGCAGTTTAAACATAGCAATTTCTCTGAAACTGCTATGTTTATAGCTGCAGGGTTAAAACTAGACAGACCTGGCACCCAGACAACTTCAGTGAGCTGAAGTGGTCTGGGTGCCTATAGTGGTCCTTTAATGTATCCTTTCTTGTAAAATACTTTATACATACAGACAGCCACTAGAGGCCATCCTAAAACTTAAAACTGCAATACTTTACTTTGCAGGGTCAAGGGGATAGGGACAGTGCACTCAGACTACTTAAATGAGATGAAGTGGTCTGGGTGCCTGTGGTGTCCCTTTAAAATTATCATGCTTTAATAATAAAATATATATTTTTTAAAAGGCATCTGATTTGTCCTAAGTCACCTATGCGCCCTCCATGGTTAGGTCTGTGGCTCCATTAAAATGGCAGAATTTTAACATAAAATTACATGATATATGTTCTTGGAATCTAATTAATTCAGTATATCAAGAGTCTAAAGTTTTCCTGGAAAAAAAAATGGTAATTAATTTCTGTTGCCATATTAACGCAAGACATATATGGGCGTATTCACTAAAATGTGACGTGTCAGGAATTCAACATGAAAGTGAATTTTGATTTTTAGGTCAAAAAAGTCAAGTTCCAAAACGTTTTCAAGCAAGCTACGTTTTCAGCTATTTTTGGCACTTTTGGCCAAAGATTTCAAATTCACCGTGAATTCACACTCCCACTTGCTGACACTTCACACCTTAACGAAAAAACCTGTAAACAATTTGTATTTGTATTTTACGTCTTTATAGAAAAGGCAACGTCTTATTAACAGTATTGGAAATCATGAATTTCAGTGAAGTAACGCAATACAATCTTACAATCATTTCTCTTTTTCCATTAACAAGTCGAAACTCTTACTGTAAGAGCGATCGAGGTCAGTTACTTATCGAGGGCGTTACAAACATTTCAGCAGTGTTTTTTTCCTTTTTATTAGCGATACACAAGGAAACATTTTTTTTAACTTTCTGACAGGCATCTCACATTTAACCAAGCAAGAGATGGAGCCATGTTTCACATCAAACTCTGTCCCTTTTTGACACATTTCTCACACATTTTCCCATTTGTCTCCTTATTCCTTATATTTAAGGTTCATTACACTCCACACTGGGCTTTTATATATTAGGGGGCTTTCAATCAATCACCATGTTTCTATACTTTTATAAACACAAGGTATTTTCACTGGTTGTCTAAATCTGTGTCCTTGCATTTCAACCTGTACGTTTTTGCCATGTTTTTCATTTTTACGATGACCAACTAGTCTGAATTACGCCTAAATACTTAACTTCTTCACTACCAAGTATTTCTATTAGAAAATATATTTGCATAATATTTATTTGAAACATGGGATACATGGTTAGCACTAAAACGTATCATTTAACAGCTATTTTGTGTATAAATTGTTATTTAGGCAAACATAACACAATTTCTATTTTTTTATTTATTCATTCATTTTTTATTCATTCATCCTTTACAAAGGGTGTAAAATATAAGTATAAAAGCAAAAATATATTTTTTCTCACATACGGTAGCTGTGACTAATAATAGATAAATAAAAATGGCCAAATACCTTGCTCTTAGGTATTTGTAGAGATGTTGATGGCATTACAGCAGTACATCTTATGGAAAATGAATGTAAAAAGAATATTGGCATTTGAGCATAATGCCAACATACAGTAAGTACAGTTAAAGGAAGGCTTCGGGCGCCAAATCAACTTCTTCTAAATTAAGGTGTTATGGTGCCAGGAGGTCCTTGGAGTCACTCCTACCCCTATAAGTTAAACTATTTTCAAATGATGGTTTAACCCCAAAGTTGTCTACAGTGGTGATGTCCACTCCCCCCGGGTGGCATCCACAGGGCAGAGGCAGCTCTGATTGGGTGCGAGTGGTCAGCTGATGCTCTCAGCTAATAAGTGACTCCCCATTCACTAAACTGGCTTGGAAAAGTTAAATTTCTTTCAAAATCAGTTTAGTAAAAGGTTAGTTACTGATTGGCTGAAAGCGTCAGCTGACCACTCTCAGACAATCATCACTCCACTTCCGGGGGCACTCCGTTCTTCCTGAATCTGAAAATTCAGAAGCTGAATGCCGCTTAGGATAGAGCGGATATTGCCACTGGAGGCAGCTTTGGGGTAAAACTGTTCAAGAACGGTTTAACCCTGTGAGGTCAGAGTGCCTCTGATGAAGTTAGATGAAGTTGTTTTGGTGCATGTAATGTCACTTTTACTGATATATTACTAAAATATATAAAAAGTATTTAAAAATATTATAGCAATACATGCGATGTTAACCGTCATGAAGGGCAGCTGCAAGATTTTGGAAATTAAGGGGTTAAATAGCAGGAAAAGTCGTCAATTTTCTCTGTATTTTTTAATACTAGTGACTAATTGTATAATCGCAAATAACTTGGTGGCTGGGTTAAAATGTATTTAATACATATGGTAATAAAATCCCTGTTTAGTCTCACTTTTACACTGATAAACAAATACTTAAGGAAGACCTAAGGTAGAATTAATAGGGAAAAAAAACTCTTTAAACACCTGTGTTTTTTTTTTTCCTAGCACCTTCTTTTGTAAATCCACTTATATCCCAAAAGCTCAGACTCTTCATGGATAATAAGTGGGTTTGAAAGATCTTTTCCTATCACGAAAAAATAATTTTCACAACATGTATTTTTCCCTCCCCTCTCCTGGCTGCAAAAGAGATAAGAACCTGCCCGATGAATAATTTCACACGGCAAAGAGCTAATTCAGAACAGAATGGTAGGTCCATAAATAGTAGATATGTTTTTGGGAGGGAGGGGCGCTGGAGAAAGACTAGTCTATTAAAAAAGTAATATAGGTAAAGTCACTTGATAGGCTCCTCATTGCTACAAACACTTGCCGAAACATGTATTGCAACTTCACGTTGACTTGAGTCCAATCATTGTCTTCTACAATTACTACCAAAATGGAGAATTCTGGATGACGAATTTTGGGACAACTTCTTTTTTTTTTCACAAATGCTAATTTACTTCAGCATGCATTAACCGAAATGTTTTAAGAGGCAACTGATTTCACTAAAATGTGTAACTAATTATAAGAAATAGTTTTTTCAGTAAATGAGGACACAGCCTTACTTCAGAGAGGGCACGTATAAAATGAGCTTGATCTCTCAGCAGGTGTACAATAGGATGGGTTCATTTAAGAGCAGTATTATCTTGTACAAAGAATTGCCTTAATGAAAAAATAAATAGTATTTTATTGACTTCAAAATACGGGCTCGTTTTAACTCCAGTATGATGTCTCCCAAACAGATTTTTAACCACTAGAAGCTGAAAATAAAAATTGTAATGTTATTTTGTACATGAAACTTTTTCTATAAAAGAGTTTTTTTAAATTAAATCAATGAATAATCAAACAGCAACAGCAGCTTGAATATAGAATGTGGAAGGACAGGACATGATGCAATGACAGTGGTAAGGGTGTAGACAAAACAAAAAACTGTCCAGCACTGGGTCAAAATGTTGGTGTTGTAGAGTTGTTGTTTTTTTTTGTCTATGTACTTTGCTGGCCTTTGCACGGGACCTGCTTGGCAAATTTGTGGTGAGTACTGTTCCATTTTGCATATCTACTAAACAGTGGTAGGAGTGTATCGTAAGGGAGCAGAAGACAAAAGATGTCCCCTTTCCACATTTTATTAACTCGCAATTTCACATCTTTATATCTTCCTTTGATGGTACCAAATATAATGGTATCCAGCAGGGGATGAGGTGGGTGCTATGAACAACTGAGGCAACAGGAGCTCTAGAAATGTCCAGTGAAGACTCAGCCAATGGGTTCCACCTCAGAACAGAAATGTAAACATTCAGAACACTATTCTCAATGGGGGTCATCGGCACAACTGAAAACTTAATGGGTTTCCCAGCCAATCATCCTCTTGGTGTCTGAGCGTGATAAGGTTTTCATTCCAACCATAGATTAGAGAGGCTCTGCAATTCCTATGCAGTACTTTATTAACATTTAGATTGAATTGCCCAAGTCCTTTTTTTTTCAAATTTTTTTCTAATTATGGTTTAAGTGGGGATTTGTACATATAGACTGTCAATAGAATTTAGCCTCATGTCATTAACTCCAGCTCTGAAAACAAAAACAAGCAAGTGATTAAACATTATTTAATTGCCGTGATGCTTACAGGATATTGAAACGCTACCACCAGTGTATACAAGTTCATAGTTCAAGATGAAAACCTGAATTTGACAGTTTCTTAGCAAACTGATTTTTTTTTTTTTCCATTTCAGGTCCCAGAAGGAATGTTTTTTTTGTGTGTGTGTGTTTATTGACTAAATAAGGGTATTGATTCCTTAAGAGCTTTTCTGTTTTCTTTCATTGGGAAATATTGCTGCCTGAACCATTCTCTCTGAAATGTAGGTGAGAAGTTATTTTAGTAGTGTCATAAATCTCCATCTTTAGCTCTTCTTTGCTGTGTAAACAAGTGTTTGTCAGTCCACGGGGGTTAATTTGTCCATGTTAAACTTTTTGAGATCCCTCAAGAGTCTTCCGTTGGTAGACAGTAACTTAAAATAAAGTCACACATGAGTATATACACCTGTCAGCTGTTTTGTATATGTATACAATTAGCTTGAATTCTTCCAGAGTAAATATAATGTATAAAATAAGACAAAATGTCAGGGGCAGTGTACAGTATTGTGGAATGTAATTTTGACCACCCCTATTCATAATAACAAAGATTCAATATTACTATAAAAAAAATCAAAATATTTTATCTTCAAAAATTCCCTTATACTTTAATGGTAACTTCTTTAGATAAATAATGTTTCTGATAGTATGGAATCATTTGGAAAGCTTAATAAATCAAGGCCATAGTAAGAGACAGCAAGAGGACAAGGGACAATTGTCCCTCAACCCCTAGTATACATGAGCTGTGGGCCACAGTCGTACTGTGTCATTTTTCTGAATGTTAAAAGAAACTGAAGGTACATTGGGATGCCGTTTGGACAGAATTGCAAGTGGCTGGCACCAGGAAAAATTGTGTAGAGCTTTTGCTGGACCATAGTTGTGTTGGGTTGTGCTAATATAGTACACCAATTTATTAAAACAAGATTTGAAAGATTACATTTAAGCATGAAAGCTTTTTCTTAAATCATTCAGTGATGAATGCACTGACACATTTCACTTTTCAGTGGTTTTTTACAAGTGCAAGTGCATCCAATTAGACTTGCCTCTGAGTCCAAAAGTTGACAGCCCTCCCATGCAAAAGACAAAGTTCTCCCTCTCAATTCAAATTTATATACATTTAAGGAAAACTTGCAAGAGTTATTCGCAAAGTCAGATCTATAAATCAAAATTCCTTTAGATTAAAATTCTCAGTTGCCTCTGAATTTCCCTTAAAAAATCCATTACTTTGTTGGTCTTGTGCCTTACCTCTGTAAATTAAAAAAAAATGGGCAATTACCACATAACAAAATGTATTTAAAATGAAAAAATCAGTCAGAGAAGGTGTAGGTGATTTAAAAAATAGCAAAATGCGTTTACAAGTTGCATTTAATGAATGATTAGTGATTATCTGACATCTGACAGTTTTGTTTTTTATACTACTGGCAACATTCAGTCTTCCTCCATCTTTCTTTATTAAGCCAGATTACTTGTCTGCCTGCCACTAAACAGTAAAAATTATTGTAGAAAGTACTGTCGTTATAATATGTTCCACATGATGGACTTGTGCATTCGGTGTCTCCCATATTGCTATTTGTCCGAACTTTGGATGTTCAGTGACTTGTCCAAATTTATGAACTCCAAAAAGGCATATGGACAAATCACAGACCAAACAAAAATGGCAATGGATGAGCCATTCCATTTGTTTCGTAATTTGGAGTTCTGTTCGTGGAGTAAAAAAAATATATAATTGATTAAACAAAAGATGACTGATGGTTAGATTACAGTCATTATATGTTGATTTTGTTGACAAATCAAGTGAGAAATGGCCAAGAAAGGGGAAAAAAAAACAGAGAAGCAGTGATACATCTATATTTATATATCATGCTTTTATTAAATATATAACATATAAATATACATATTTTTTATTGCTTCTCCTCTTTTAGCTACTTCTTTTCACTTTACTCTGAATTAAAAGGTAGAAAAATTTATCTGTCAGTGTACTCCAAAATATATACATAACACTGATTGGCCAATTTTCATGCCAATTTGTTTACCCAAATCTACAACATAAACCCTACACATTTTTAAACATGTATCCACATCCTGCCTTAATAACCAATCCATCACTTCTTATATATGTTTGTTTTTTTATTTAATTTTTTTGTATCTTTTTTTTTCTAAGGTAATCATACATTTGGATTAGAAATGTAATGGTCTAGAAAGGATTTTCAGGTAGTCACCAAAAACAAAAAAATTAATGAGCTAAAGCTACAAATAATATATACTGTGATTTTGTAGACACCTCTATTGCATTTAATATTGTGCTAGGTGAACCCCTAAATATTCATTAACAACATTATAGGTTTGTAATTTGTTTGGGGAGGAAATGTTCAACCTAATAGACTTATTTCTTGATGCCTTGCGCCCTTTCAGCTTTGTTTACTGCTTACATGTTTTTTAAATATCCCTTCTCTAAGACCTCCCTAGTCTTCCCTCTCATCCGACGATATACCCCCTTCCTTTGCTCCATATGCAATTACTTACTTTTTTCCCTTTCCTTTCTCAGTAAGAATGTACTGGACTGTTGATGCTACATACCGCTATCTCAAAATCCTTTTTATCATGTTATCTGCTTATTGCATCTGTCTCTGTGCCGGTATATCTATACATTATTTGCAATAAAAATAAATAAAGACCTTTAAAAAATGTTTTAACAAAAGTTTAAACTGTATCTTAAATAATTGTACCCAATTGTGTAGATGTAATGAGTGGCATAGCCAGGTGGAGCTTGCTATTATAGAACTGTAGAGTGTTTGTTCGTCGAGAAATAATAGATTAAATGAACTCCAAAAATGTGGAGCCAGTACTAAAAAAAATATGACCTGTCACAGATCATGATATTTCTTCAGAGTTGTGTTACATGTCCTGAAGGACACACATAATGCATTCTTTTAACATTTTGGGTACCAGTATGTGGAATCGGATGTCGTGTTCACCCCCTGGTATTTAAAAGGTTAAGCCAAACATTACACTCATTCAATGGATTATTCAGTAAATATTACAGAAGACAACTCCAGCAGATTTGCCATTAACACCCATAAAACACATCTTAGCTGTTACCAGATGAGTGTCACAAACCTCTATAAAAGTAGCAGAAATCTTTTATATTGTCTATCAAGTCACAGCACTTGCACCATGCAGCAATAATCAATAAACACATCATCACTTCAGCTAAAGTATAAAAGCAATGACATACTTGGTGAACAAAACACTATATTGGCGAGCAAAAAAAACTCAACTTACCAAAAGATAATGCCAGAAGATATTCACTTGGGTCAGACAAATCATTTTTCATAGCTGCTATAAGTTCTAAAGGCAGTATTCTAAATTCTACTAAGTTTATACGTAAAACCTTTCAACTATCAGGCAGCTAGAAGCAATTTACTTATATATGTACTCGAGAAACTAGTACCAGAGACTCGAGGAAGCAAATTAAATTGCAGAATATGAATTTAACAACAGGTAGCACCTGAAGATAGTACAATATATAGTTTGACCAACTGGTGGAAATGTAAAGGAAAGATTAATAATTGTGAGCCTAATATCTGGCAGGTTTTAAAGGCAACTTCCAAACTACTAGTGAGTCCATCAGATAGTTTTTTATCCTGGACTTGTTTTGATAACTCTATTTCCTTCATGGTGTTTGTTTCATAGACACACATACATACACACAGACAGACAGACACACACACATACAAAGACACATACATACACACAAGGCACACATACATATAAAGACACACACATACATACAAACAGACAGGCACACATATATACAGACAGACATACACACAGACACATACACACACATATACAGACAGACACACAAAGACACATACATACATACATACACACACACACAAACACATACATACATATACAAAATGTTTAAGTCACCCTCCTGTTTCCTACCTTTTCAGTGCAGGAGGGTGACTTTCCCTGGGGTCCAGTGGTGGCTCAGGTTGATGGGAACTCTGACTCCCTCTCCTTCCTCTCGCGTGGCTTTCTGATAGCTGGGAGGAGTGACGGACAGTCAGCAGTGATCTCATCAAAGGGGGCCAGGTCGCACTGTTAAAGCGCCGCAGCGCTGATCGGGCCCCTTGGAAATCCATACCCATCGGGTGGCCCTAACAGCATGGGCCACTCGATGGGCCCCTTGAAGGTGCGGCCATAGGGACCGCAAAACATGGCAGCTAGTACCCGGTCACAGGGGTCTGCAGGGCAGCTGGGTCCCTAGAATGACAGACCCGGTCGCAGCTGCGACCCCTATATGTACGCCACTGTCCGCTATCCTTCCCCTACACCAAGCATGCCAAACTCAAAGGCTAGCACTGGCCAAATAAACAAGGTTTAAGTTAACAAAAAAACTAAAATTTTCATAGAAACGTAGGTTTGTTTTGAAAAGTACAGTATAAAAAAAACAGCATCCCCCTCTGCTAAACCCCAGCCCACCCTCTATACTAAATCCTAGTCCCATGTGTATCCTAATTCCAAGTCCCCCCTCTATAGTAAATCCCAGCACCCCCTTCTACCAAATCCCAGCACCCCTTCTACTAAATCTCAGCACCCCCCTCTACTAAACCCCGGCCCTTGTTTAAAAAAAAAAAACAACAACATTAGCCAACAAGCAGACTCCACTCACATTGCCGCTGCCAGTATGAGATTCCATAGTCCAGCATCTGGTTTACCCCCAATGGCGCCGTACGCACATTGTGCCAAAGAGGATCCTTCAGCTACTCCTTGAAACTCTGTGAAGGTGGGGCACATTGACGTCACATTGGAATATGATGTGGCGTTGCGTGCCTCCATGTACCTCCAGGTCCTCCACTGTCCATCAGTGGCCATCGCAACACTGATCAACACACACTCACTGACAGACACACTCACTGACAGAAACACACACTCACTCTCTGACAGACACACACACTGACAGACACACACTCACTGACAGACACACACACACTCACTGACTGACAGACACATACACACACACGTACTCACTGACTGACAGACAGACACACACTCACTGACAGATGTACACACTCACTCACTCACTGACAGTCACACACACACTGACAGACAGACACACACACACTCACTGACACACACACACACACTCTCTGACAGACACACACACTCTCTCACAGACACACACACTCACTCACTGACAGACACACACACACACTAACAGACACACACAAATTGACAGACACCCAGACACTGACAGACACACACACACACTAATAGACATACATACTCACTAATAGACACACAGTCATTGACAGACACACACACACTGACAGACACACTCTCTCACACACACACACACACACACATTTACACATTTTTGCACACACTCACATCGTTTTATTAATTGTTCCCTACCTTTGGGAGCTGGTGTGGGGCCTCTCCCTG